AACAGAACCACTAACCCAGGAACCTATCCTTGCAACAAAGCCCGTTGCCAACTGTGTCCACATATCTATTCAGGGGACACCATCATAGGGCCTAATCACATCAGCCACACTATCAGAGGCTCGTTCACCTGCACATCTGCCAATGATATATGCCATCATGTGCCAGCAATGCCCCTCTGCCATGTACATTAGCCAAACTGGACAGTCTCTAAGTAAAAGAACAAATGGACACAAATCAGACATCAAGAATTATAACATTGAAAAGCCAGTTGGAGAACACTTCAATCTCTTTTTGGTCACTCGATTACAGACCTAAAAGTGGCAATTCTTCAACAAAAAAACTTCAAAAACAGACTCCAATGAGAGACTGCTGAATTGGAATTAATTTGCAAACTGGATACAATTAACTTAGGCCTGAATAGAGACTAGGAGTGGATGGGTCATTACACAAAGTAAAACTATTTCCCCATGTTTATTCCCCCCCCGCCCCCTCACTGTTCCTCAGACTTTCTTGTCAACTGCTGGAAACGGCCCACCTTGATTATCACTACAAAAGGTACCCCCCACCTCTCCTGCTGGTAATAGCTCACCTTACCTGATCACTCTTGTTACAGTGTGTATGGTAACACCTATTGTTTCATGTTCTCTGTGTATATAAAATCTCCCCACTGTATTTTCCACTGAATGCATCCGATGAAGTGAGCTGTAGCTCATGAAAGCTTATGCTCAAATAAAATGGTTAGTCTCTAAGGTGCCACAAGTCCTCCTTTTCTTTTTGCGAATACAGACTAACACGGCTGTTACTCTGAAACACATATACTTGGAACCACAGACACAGGCACTGAGACAGAGCTCAAATGGATTTTACAGCAGCTTGTGGGTAGAGCCCTGACATGGGCCAGACCAAATTCTGTCTTCACCTCTTTTTCCTTCTATGCAACCTAAGGACTTTCAGATTCTGAGCCAGCTGACTAATAAATTGTTACCTTGTTTTGAAAAGGCTTCCTGGTGTCGCTGCAAATACTTTACAGCGAACATTGCACTTTGGAGGAGTACAGGACAAGTCTCTCACAGGAGACTGGCTCCGCTGGACTTGCTGCAGGGAGCCATGGAGAGAGACCAGGATCGCCAAAATTCTTGGGACCTGGCAGTCTATTGGAGTCACTCCTCAGGATTACAGCTGGACCTAAACCAGACCCTGTGGATGCATGACACACAGAGGACATCTCTTGCATGGATGTCTTATAAATATACAGCAGAGAACAATGCTGCAATGGTACCTTGGATGTGACCTCATAGAACTTGTTTATATGCTTTTAAGCTTCTTTAAAACATCCCAGCTGTACTCTCTTTGAGCCAGAACCTCAGCTGGAATAAATCAGCATCGCTCTATGTTGCTATGTAGCAGCTGAGGACCAGGCCTCCATGAACAGCGAGCAAAACCAACATTCACACAAGGACTGACAAATGCACTCAAAGAAAAAGGATATTTAACAAAATGACAAGTATCAAAGCAGCACTGAGATGATATAACTGATATCAGGGATTATGGCAAATGCATCTCCAGCTTCTCCAGTGGCTGTGCTGATGTCCCCCAGACTGCCAGCCTGATTTGGGGGAAGACATTCTGCACAGAAATATATTTTAATTTCCACTGAAAAAAATCATTCCTCTGGTAAAATGCTGCTGTATTTTCTACCTCACTGAATCTGCCAAGAAAGCAACACCATTAATACAGGAAGCCTTATAGGAACCAGTGGGGAAACACACACTTGTGGAGTACATATCCTCCCACTGTAACAACAGAGTTCTTAGCAGAGAGTAAGAGGAGATAATAAACCATTAAATGCCATGGGTACGTCTACACAGCAAAAATATCTCAGTGAGGCACAGAGCCTGTGTCTACAGTCTGGGGCTTGCGGGGCTCATGCTACCATGTAGACTTTCCAGCTCAGGCTGGGTTTCAGAGCTCGAGCTCCAGCCCAAGCCACAACATGGACACAGCTATTTTTAGCTTCCTAGTGTGAGCCCTGCAAGCCTGAGTCTGTAGACCCGGGCTCATAAACTCACCGCCATGGGTTTTACTTTTCCCGTTTTGTAGACGTACCCCATCTGGCTACATTCCACTCTATCCTACACCAGGATCGATCCAGAGTGACTCCACTGAGTCTGCTGGGGCCACTCAGTATTCAACCTAGCATCACTGAGAGTAGAATCTAGATCCTTTTCCAGTGTTTGTTGTGGGTATTTTATCTGAACAGCCCCTTTCAGCTCACTTTCTATCAACATCCCCACCCCCAACAAACATGGACCATTGAACTGTCCCTAGCGCTGTTTCCACCACTGAGAGCGGCTGATGCTGCTGTACAGTGACGGACTCAGCTAAGTCTGAGTCATTGTCACCACTGGCTAGCTAACGCTGACCTTTGGGAAAGCAGCAAGGAAGGGGTTAAGATTTGAACCGACCTGAAGAAGCCTGTGAGATCACTGAGAAGACATCCATGCATTTCCACTGTTGGAACACAAGGGGAGGGGGGGAACTTACTCCACAAAGTTCCAGAAACCAGAGAGCCCCAGGACTTCTCTGTGTGGGGAAAGTTTTGCCAGTGATACCAGCATAAGAGTGCCGTATTCAGTTTGCTTAATTCCTGTGGCTAAACTATATAAACTAAACTGGAAAAAGACCACTCTTATATTGGAATAAAAGCTTCCACATGGGGCTGGGGGTTAAACAGGGATAACTAGATCAGTTTAAATTCACACCTTAACTTTCCTGTGTAGACAAGGCCTCAGCCGCCATGAGGGAACTCAGGCCTCCAGGAAAAGAACCAAGGAAGTACTGAGGGGAGGAAAGTGTACTAGGATTCAGGAAAAGGCTAGACATTTATATGGATAATAAAATCATCATTCGCAGTCACACTAGCCCAGGGTCACAGCTGTCTCTTGCCGTGAGGAGTGTATGGCCAGGCAACGAGTGCCAAAAACCCTCAGGCCAGCTGACCAAGGTATCATTGGCTTAGTCCATCACTTTGATGCAGCAGGCAGGAAAGGCCGCTCTCCCATGTGGACTCTCCGGTGTCTATTCAGGATTGAGCTCTGAGTGAAGCTTTTCCCACAATCCCAGCACCGGTAAGGTCTCTCCCCGGTGTGGATCCGCTGGTGCCTGACCAGGTTGGAGCTGCGGCCAAAGCCTTTCCCACAATCGGAGCACTTGAAGGGCTTCTCTCCACTGTGGATCCTCTGGTGCGTAGACAGGGTGGATCTCACGCTGAAGCTTTGCCCGCACTCAGGGCACTCGTAGGGCTTCACTGTGACGTGGATTCTCTGGTGCAAGGCAAGGCTTGAGCTCACGCTAAAGTTTTTCCCACAGTCCGGGCATTTGTAGGGCTTCTCTCCATTGTGGATCCTCTGATGTTTGACCAGGTCTGAGCTCTGCCTGAAGCTTTTCCCGCAGTCAGTGCATTTGTAGGGCCGGTCACCCATGTGCGTGCGCTGGTGTTTGATGAGGTCAGAGCTCTGGCCAAAGCTCTTCCCACAGTTGGAGCACATGTAGGGCCGGTCACCCATGTGGGCCCTCCGGTGCCTGTGCAGGTTGGAGCTCTCGCTGAAACTCTTTCCGCACTCAGTGCATGTGAACGGCTTGTGCCCGGCGTGGATTCTCTGGTGTTTAATGAGATCCGAGCTGCGCACAAAGCCTTTTCTGCACTCGGGGCATTTGTAGGGCTTCTCTCCCACATGGGCTCTCTGGTGTTTCACAAAGTTGGAGCCGTCAATAAAGCTCTCCCCACAGTCCCCACAGCTGTAGGGTCTGTCCCCGAGGTGGATCCTCTGGTGCAGGATGAGGAGTGACCTACGTCCAAAGCCTTTACTGCAGTCGGGGCATTTGTAGGGCTTTTCCTGGCTGTGGATTCTCTGGTGTAGGACCAGGGTGGAGCTCCGGCCGAAGCTCTCCCCGCAGCTGGGGCAGGTGAAGGGCCTCTCACCAGTGTGAGTTCTCTGGTGGGAGAGGAGTTCTGAGCTCACGCTGAAGCTTTTCCCACACTCAGTGCATCTGAAGGGCCTCTCGCCCATGTGGGTTCTCTGGTGTCTAACGAGGTGCGAGCTCTGGCGGAAGCTTTTCCCGCAGTCAGGGCATCCGTAGGGTCTCTGCCCCATGTGGGTCCTCTGGTGGGCAGTGAGGTCTGAGCTCTGGCTGAAGCTCTTCCCGCACTCCGAGCAAGGATAAGGCCTCTCTCCTGTGTGGGTCCGTCGATGCTTAGTGAGATGGGAGGTCACGCGGAAGCTTTTCCCACACTTAGGGCATTTATAAGGTTTCACTCCCGTGTGGACTCTCTGGTGCGTCAGGAGCCGAGAGCGCCGACTGAAGCTTTTCCCGCATGCATCGCATCCGTAGGGTCTCTCCCCTGTGTGGATTCGCTGGTGTTTAGTGAGGTCTGAGCTCTGGCTGAACTTTTTATCACAGTGAGGGCACTTATAGGGTTTCTCTCCTGTGTGAATTCTCCGATGGGTTGTGAGGTTTGATCTCACGCTGAAGCTTTTCCCACAGTCGGGGCAGTGATAGGGTTTTTCTCCCGTATGGATTCTCTGATGCGTAATCAGGTTCGAGCTCCCACAAAAGCATTTCCCACACTCAGCACATTTATGGGGTTTGTCTCCCCACTGGGCTGTCTGATGTTGTCCCAGGCCTGAGTGCAGACCAGAGGCTTCCCCACACTCTGTATCCAGGTGTATATTCTCTCCAGTGGGGTAGTTCTGGGGGACATTCTTGCCCCTGAATCCTTTGTCACTCGGAAGGGATTGAACCTCTCTCTTTCCTGAGCAGTTTCTCTGCTGCCTTTCTGAGCTGCTGTCAGTCCCACAAGCTTCTCCATGGTCAAGCCCCTGCAGCCCCAGCTTGTTAGGGACGTTCTGCTGGGGATTGTCCTCCACATCCTCATTTACCATCCCCTCTGCAACTGCCATAAATGGAGAGAATCCGGACACAAGTCCTTGCCTCTGCCAGGGAGAACAAGAGTCTCAGGAACGGGAACTGCAAAGAGAGTGAAATAATCATGAGGGATGAAAAACAGGAATCATATCCCCCACAAACCCTCCAACTCACCCAGAGGAGAGAGAAGAGGAGCCAATCCTGCCAATTCAGACTATCTGAACCCCCAGAGAAAGGAAGGGGGAAGGGAGGGAGCTTATGACAAAGGTGAGTAGGAAGCCATGAACAGCATCTGCCAGGAGGATACAATACCTGTTGGAGACCTGGGGTGAGATCAGGCAGAACTGGGGGAACTCCGGGGCTTTGGCGGGAATCCTATCTTTTTAATTCATGCACCTGAGGGCTTCTGAGTTGCTTGAATGAGTTCCCCACTGGCGCATGTGCCTCCTGGGATCTCCTGTCCCTCAAATCCTTGGAGATCTGGGACCCACAGCTCCTCCCCTTGTTCCATCCAGGAGATCACAGACGGTGAATCAGAAATCCTGCAGAGGGAAGGAAAACATGTAAGATCAGGGTCTGTTACACATTCTTTGTGTCTTTCCAACAAAGAACGTTCCAGGATTTTACACCCAGTTTATTACTTTGAGAATGGGGCATCTCACATTAGCTGCACAACTGAGTTACAAAAGGAGTATAGCTGCGTTTCACAAACTTAGAGTCCCAACCCAAAAGGGGGTCACAAAACTATTGTAGGGGAGTCGTGAGATCACAAAAAATATTGTGATAACCTTTATATCCTTTGCTAGGGTTACCATATTTCAAATTCCCGGATGGAGGAAAGGAGAACTGGAGTGGGAGGGGGGAATATAGCAGCCGCCGCTCTCCGGCTACCCAGCTCTGAAGTGCAGAAGTAAGGGTGGCACTACCATACTGTTGCTTTACACTATTTGAAAGGCTTCAGTGCTTTTGACTGCAGAGATGATGACTACATGCTTTGCTTAATGCTCCTATGAGTATCTACAGTAATTTGCCATCACTTTTTTCTGGGAGTGGGGGGGTGTTGTCACAGCCTGAAATATTTTCAAAGGGGGGCCCAGCAAAAAAAACCCTGGAGTATAGGGTACATGCAGTTGTAAGAGTCACAATCTGAATGACCTGCCGGCCAAGAATAAAGAAGGAAATCTGTAATCCTCCTGAATACAGCTGAGAATGCTGCTATCTGTTTGCAGGCATGTCACAAAGAGGAAAAACAACTGCAAAGAGTAGACAATCTGATATTAATCGCTATTTTCTAGATATTTCAATCACTTATCTGACCACCATCACCCTAGTTTCTCAGCACCTCATAATTCATCATCTATTTATCCTCAAAGCACCCATGTGAGATAGGGAAGACCTATTATTATTACTTAGACTGAAAACTCCTTGGGACAGAAACTGTCTTTTTGTTCAGTTTGTACAGTGCCTAGCACAGCAGGGTCCTGCTCCACAACAGCAGCTCCTAGGCAAATTTAAAAAAATTCTAATTTTACAGGTGGCGAATTAGGGCCCAGGAAACACTTTGTACAGCATCACAGATAGAATCTGGAGCAGAGTAGGAAATTCACGTTGAATCTCAAGAGTACCAGGCTAGTTCCCTGGCTCACATTTCCTCTCCAGAGAAAATTCACCTCTGCCAGATTGGAACTTGCAGGCACCGGCACACAAAGCACACTATTCACAGCATCACTAAGCTACTGCATCATTACCCCATAGCAATTATAGAGGCCCTTTGGGGAAGCTTCCTAGTGAGAGACACGTTGCACCCCCTGTAGGGGATTCTGGCATCTCTGGACAATGCAGGACATGACTCAATCACTGCCCAGACCTACAGCAAGGGAAATGATGTCACCAAATATCCAGAAGATAACAGTCCCCTCAGCAGTAAGCAGCAATTTGGGGATTTGGGAAGAACAGACTTTGCAGACAAATTTTTTGCATTCCATAAATAGAAACATTCCTTCTCTTATGCCAGTGACAGAAAAAGATGCACTGGGAACCCTCCATCTCAGAATCCATCCTTTGGACATGTCCTTCCATACCACAGAGCACGGCAGCTGGTTCTCCCTCATACTTTGGAATCTACTCTTCATCCCACCTGGGTCCAAAATAACCCACATCTGTTCAGAGGATTCAGCAGGGTTGAGGTATTGACCTGATTTTGAGGAGGGAGGGCTAGCATCTATGGGGGATGGGGCACTCATTGGGTTCTGCTGGCGCTGGCTTTAAGTGGCATTAATTTAATTTGTCTCAAAGGCAAATTTTCGGTGCCCATTAACCAAAACAATAATACACAAATTGCTGTCAGCAGAAAAGCTGAGTCAAGAGACTGTGCCTGTGCCATATGCTCTTTACAATGACAAATGAATCCAGCTTCATCCTCAGGTCTTGGTACTTCTGTTTCTCTGGCCTGGTCTATTTTGGGAGCTGGGGGGCCGCGTCTGGGCTTGGGCTTGGGCAGGACTGGGAGTTTGTGAGAACTTCCCTGGAGTTACTCGGACAGTTGTCCTATCTAGCTATTTCTGATACACTCATTTCTTTATTTTTAGGCTCTGGATTTTCACCCCACTGGGACCAAAAACTATTTCCAGAAGCCCCTGCCCAATCCATCTATGAGCACTTCAGGGCTTTGGTTTCTGAATGCAGAGATCAGGGAATTCCCACCCCATCCCAAACAGTTTGTTCCTAAAAAGAAAAGGCCTCATTTTAAGCAATTCACAAGTCTTTACTACTATCCTGCCCCCACCCCACCATGAACCCTTCTTCCTCCTCCACCGCCACCCCCCCCCCAAACAGCTACCTGACAATCCCGTACCTGAGCTGGCTCCCCTGAAGACATTTCCCTTCCCCGTCCCCTAGGATGATGGGACCATCTGGGGTGAAACTAGGATGTTATTCTGTAGCCTGTCGGGGTGAGAAGGGTGACCGAGGAGGTTTCTGAAGGGGCTTTAGGCCCTTTCATACCCCGATTCCCCCCAGGCTCTTTTCCTGCAGACAGATGCTCTAGACTTTGCCACACTGGGAAAATGCTTGTTCACTTTATTATGGAGCAGATCCGGCTGATCCCACCAATATGAAATGCACAAAAACATTTTTAAGCACTCTCCAGTAACAAAGTCTCTGAATCAAATGCCAGAGAAGAGTGGACTCTAAGGAGCTGCTTTGGGTATAGGTACGTGGCATTATAAACCCAGATTCAGACTCAGGTTTGAGCCCAAACCCCTTCTACCGTCCTCACACAAATCTTTCTGATTTGGGTCAGTAAATCCTCAGGACCCAAGTCCTAGGACCCACCAGGGATGTTGGGTCTGAGTCCAAGTCCCACTGGGATTCAGGTCCAAGTGCTATCATTTTGCAGTCTGGACATAGATCAAGCCCGAGTCACCAAACTCAAGTCTGGAAAGTCTGCCGACGCTTTCCTGAAATCTCATGGGCCAATATTTCTCAGCCCTGCTATCCCAACACTACCCACTTGACTCCCAAGCACCAGAAGCAACCCCCCTTGGTTCCCATCCAGCTGCTCAGCATTTAACCCTTCCCTTTTATTCTGACTGCTGAACTATAAGCACAGTTTACCATCTTCTACATTAGTTATGGCCAGTAAGAAGATATCCTAGGCCATGTTTCCACCAAGCGCATTGCTAACTGGTCACAGGAACAAAGCCAGATTCTGGTTACGCTCTGATGTGAGGCAACCAAGATGCTTGACTTCAGCAAGAGTACCAGATAAGAGCTTGTGTACCAGGACATATCGGAGAAGCTGGCAGTGTCGGAGATTGACCGGACCATTGCTCAATGCAGAGAAAGAATCTGGTGGCTTGAGACCAACTACTTGGAGTCAGGGATGACAACCACATTTCTGTCTACCTGCCTCTTAGACAAGGAATTCAGCCTAGTACTGGGAACTGCAGCAAGCTCTGAGTCCACAGCAGCACATGACAATTTCCTGAGTCACAGGCAGCACCCCAGGAGAGCCAGGAGCCTTTGGATCAAGCTCAGGAAGTGACTCTGACACTCACGCAGGTCGCTGGGGAGGCTTTGCTGCTGGAAAAGCTGCAACACATCCTGGGTCCATACTCAGAGGAGCTGTTTGAGCATGCCCCGAGGAGTAGCCTGCAGCCGAATGGGCAGAAGAGCTAGAAGTAGCACCAGAACCCGTTAAACTTCTGCCTCCACATTTGTTGTTATTAAAACACAGCTGGGATGGATTTCCAGCTTACGGCCGAATTAAATTATTATTACAAGCTGGCAGAACACACACCAGTACCTTGGCATCACCCCTCCCACCACCCCTACCACTGTGTGAAATTCAAAAAGGATACTGAGAAGGGAAAAGAAAAGTTAAACACGCAGCTATGGTGAAATTTGTACTAGACACGCACACGTTGTTTTGTTGGGGTGCTAAAATTAAGAATCTTACATTGCCCTCCCCGACAGTATGCCGCACCATGCGACTTGGTCATACCAGACCATCCTGAGCTACCTGACCAATTACTCAAGACTGTTATGGTCTGGGGGAAGGGGAGTATGTAATCCATGGATGCCATATGAACTGTCTGAAATAAACCGGGAGGTTGTATGTGATCCACAGGTCCTGTACTATGAGTCCATAAATGTTCCAAGGATGGAGTGCTTTGTAATCCTTTGTTACAGAAGTATGATCAGGGCCAGTGTTGTGAGCCCAAGCTGTCCTTAGGTCACTGCATTATTTCAGGGAGCATTCAGGGAGGCTGCAATACATCTGCAGGCAAACACAACATCCTACTGATTTCCCCATGAATTTTCAACCAATCCTGATGATTGCCAACTTTTCTCAGTACAGGAACTGCAGATGGGTGGTCACATTTTGCAGCAGGGCATACTTTCTAGGGCCTCCTTTGAAAGTCACTAGCCCACTCCAATCATATATGTGCTGGTCAGTCACTATAAGCCTGAAAAGCTCTTTAGCAAGCATTTGGATGACTTGCTCCAGGCATCTTGGAATAGAAGATCCCTTTGCCATTCAGGAATCTCCAGAACTGTTATGTCCTCCAGAAAGTGGACTACCTAAAAGGATTGTAAACCCACAGGTAGTAAACTGAAGGTGTAATTAAATCTTTTATCAGGCCTTCTGAGATCAGAGCACATTTTCATAAGCCATGGCAAAAGAGGGTATGTGGGGTCCCCTAGAACAGTGGTTCTCAACCAGGAGTTTGGGGTCCCTGCAGAGCTGCAAGCAGGTTTCACGGGGTCTGCCAAAATAAACCAGAGAGCAGGGCCAGCATTAGATTCACTGGGGTCCAGGGCAGAAAGCTGATGCCCATTATCAGTGGATGAAGATGAAGCCTGAGCCCTGCCACCCGGAGCTGAAACCAAAGCCTGAGTAATTTAGCTTTGTGGGGACCCCTGTGGCATGGGGGCCCAGGCACTTGCCCTGCTTGCTACCCCCTAATGCCGGCCCTGTCTTTTAATTTACTCTACTGGATAAGCAGAAAAACAGTTGTTGTGGCACAGGTGAGCTGTGGAGTTGGGGGAGGAAGGGAGGGCTCAGAAAGAAAAAGTTTGAGAACCCCTGGGGACAGTTACTCCATTAACAACAATGTTATTTGGTGGGAATACTGTCCCAGACTGTCTGAAGGTAAAGTCCTGATCTGCGGAAAACCCAGCATCACACACTTTGCCAGGGAAGCCAACATTAGCGTCCGTCAATAGGCATGTGATCGACGAGGGCCTGCACAATCATGGAGTAGTACCCTTAGTGGTCTATGTATTCACGTGCTTCTTGAAGAGGGCAAACTACAGGCAGGGGAGTCCCACTGATGGCCCCAGCACAATTTGTAAAGCCTGTTCTCTCAAAACCAGCAATTATTTCAGAGACAATGTTTATGCCCACCACCTTTGGGTAAATCACAGTCCTGATGGCCTCCACTCCTACAGTACCCACACCAAACTGGTTAGCAATGGACCTGTAGCAGCCAGGAGTATCATAGAATCATAGAATATCAGGGTTGGAAGGGACCTCAGGAGGTCATCTAGTCCAACCCCCTGCTCAAAGCAGGACCAATCCCCAACTAAATCATCCCAGCCAGGGCTTTGTCAAGCCTGACCTTAAAAACCTCAAAGGAAGGAGATTCTACCACCTCCCTAGGTAACACATTCCAGTGCTTCCAGTCTACTGCCATCAGGATGGCTATAGCCACCTGCTTCTGGACCGGCATGACCTCCCTCATGGGTGAGTCCTGACCCGGGAGGGTTGGGGCAAGCTGATCACACAGCTCCAGGAACCTCTGCTTCTCCATGAGAAAGTTCTGGATCAACTCCTGGTCCTCCCAGGTCCACAAAACAACGTGGTCCCACCAGTCCATACGTATGGCCCTGCTCCAGAAGCGCAGGTCTACATATGGAGAATCTGCGGCAACAGCAAGTCATGAGCAGCTTCTGCCAGTTGGAGTCTGGAATATCTGTACCTCCTTCCGAGAGGTGTCTTCAGAAAGTCAGAAAACACCACTGCAACATGCACAGTATCTCAGGGATGCTCCACCTCTTTTCCTGAAACAGGAGTAAAAGTGCAAGCTGGACCAGTTCAATAGATACCTACATCCCAAGGCTGGAAAGGACCATTGTGATCATCTAGCCTGACCTTCTGTGTAATACAGACCACAGACAAACCTGGTCATCAGCGAGCAGGAGCAAACCTGGGACCTCTGGAGCTAAATGCACGAGTCTCTACTGCATGAGCTAAAAGTCATGTGGCCCTTAACTAAGGCTATAGTAGTCTCATTAAACTCGAAGTGGTCTCAGTGCCACTAGAGGGGACAGAACACCACACCCAGATGGTGTGTGGATTACACTAGCACTGGTTGCAGGGAGTGTGACTACAGCTCAGCAAGAGGCTGGACGTGTTGGCAGGCTAAGGCAACTTCTGGTCAAGTGCCGCAAAATGGACAGTCAAGTTTTCCCACAGTGCGCCGAGATCTAGAGCAGCAACAGCTAGGGAGGGTGCTAGGAATCCTGGCATAGGCTGGATTATGCCCCCAGAATCAGAAGTTTTGACTTGGGTCAGCAAGGTTGTGAGGCTCAGATCCAGAAATCGTAAACCCAGGTATACCATACAGTGTGCACGCAAAAACGTGGACTTAGGAACACCAAGTCTGCAGACTCGGGTCCCACAGACCTGGGAATACAATGCAGGATAGATATACCTATGGGGGTCCCCCTGACACTGTCCCCACGGCAGCGCATCCCCCCAGCAGGGTGGGGACCAGGCAGAGGCAGGAACTGGCTTTTCCTCTCCCTGCGCCTCCCCTTCTCCCCAGGGAAGTCAATCTGCCCGGAGTGCTGCAGGGAATGGGGCTGGGCAGGGCTGGGAGCCGGGAACCTCCCTCCCCACTGATTGCTCCTGCTGCCTCTGCCAGTCTCTGCCCCTGTGTCCCTCCTGCCCCCTCCCTTCCCCTCGGGCTGGGAGACTCGGTCCCTGGCCCAGCCGGGCCGTTCGCTCTCCCGGCGCTGGCTCGGCTCCTGCCGGCGCTCAGGGGGGCAGAGCCGGGGGGGAGGGGAGGGTCAGGGAGGGCAGCAGCTCCGGGACTCGCAGACCCCCGCCCCCGGGAGCAGAGCTGGGGCGAGGAGGGGCCGTTGGTGCAGAGTCACTTTCCTGCCCGGCCCCAACCCTTTCCCCGGGTCTCTCCCCTCACCTGCAGGCTCCGGCTCAGGGGCTGGTGTCGGCAGAGCCCGGGACTGCCCAGGCGCTGGTTCCAGCTACCGCAGAAAGTGTCCCCCGGTCTGGGCAGAGAGAGGGGTTAATTACGAAGGGATGCAGCAGTGTCCTGTGACCCAGGAAGTTCAGCCTCTTATCATCAGGCTCTGGGCTGAAAAAGCCATGGAGGTAGCAGCCTCCCTCCCTTAACAATAACCAGAGCCCTCTGGTGGCCACAGCTCCCTAATCAAAATTTCCTTCTCTCCCCTCCCCACCGGAGACAGAAAGGCAGCACAGGAACGAATCAGGTCGACAGATGTATATTCTGGAGCAATGCTGGTCTCTCCATAGCTATATAGTTGAAACTATAACCTTCCATTGTAAGCCAGGTATAGAACCCTGCACTCAGTAAAAGTAAAGCAACCCACCTGAAATCTCACAAGCCAGATATCTTTCTGGCAGGTCTGTGGGAAATCAGAGTAGGTATATGGGAGACTTGAGGGCTCAAACAGCTCAAGTAGCAATTAATTAATAAAGGAGGGATCTCTTATCCAAATTCTGTTTGGGACCATTACTCTAGTTACAAGTAATCCACTCCTTGGAATTGTGTTTCCATCCTGCCTTGTGGCTGCCCCCCAGAGATATTCAATTCCTTTAAAAAGACAAAGGAATACATTATAAAATAGTTTAACCAGTTAAAGTGAATAGGCAGCAGGTTTAAAACAATCAAAAACAAGTATTTTTTCACACAACACACAGACAACCTGTGGAACCGGTTGCCAGAGGATGTTGTGAAGGCCAAGTCTATAACAGGGTTCAAAAAAGAACTAGATAAATTCATGGAGGATAGGTCTATCAATGGCTGTTAACCAGGATGGGCAGGGATGTTTCTATCGGCTCTGTTTGCCAGAAGCTGGGAATGGGCCACAGGGGATGGATCACTTGATGATCAAGAGGGCCAAATCTAGCTGCAGCTAGCGAGAGATGTCAAGAGTAACAAGAAGGGTTTCTTCAGGTATGTTGGCAACAAGAAGAAAGCCAAGGAAAGTGTGGGCCCCTTAATGAATGAGGGAGGCAACCTAGTGACAGAGGAAGTGGAAAAAGCTAATGTACTCAATGCTTTTTTTGCCTCTGTCTTCACGAACAAGGTCAGCTCCCAGACTGCTGCGCTGGGCATCACAACATGGGGAATAGATGGCCAGCCCTCTGTGGAGAAAGAGGTGGTTAGGGACTATTTAGAAAAGCTGGACATGCACAAGTCCATGGGGCTGGACGAGTTGCATCCGAGAGTGCTAAAGGAATTGGTGGCTGTGATTGCAGAGCCATTGGCCATTATCTTTGAAAACTCGTGGCGAACCGGGGAAGTCCCGGATGACTGGAAAAAGGCTAATGTAGTGCCAATCTTTAAAAAAGGGAAGAAGGAGGATCCTGGGAACTACAGGCCAGTCAGCCTCACCTCAGTCCCCGGAAAAATCATGGAGCAGGTCCTCAAAGATTCAATCCTGAAGCACTTATATATATATATACATGAGAGGAAAGTGATCAGGAACAGTCAGCATGGATTCACCAAGGGAAGGTCATGCCTGACTAATCTAATCGCCCTTCTATGATGAGATTACTGGTTCTGTGGATGAAGGGAAAGCAGTGGATGTATTGTTTCTTGACTTTAGCAAAGCTTTTGACATGGTCTCCCACAGTATTCTTGTCAGCAAGTTAAAAAAGTATGGGCTGGATGAATGCACTATAAGGTGGGTAGAAAATTGGCTAGATTGTCGGGCTCAACGGGTAGTGATCAATGGCTCCATGTCTAGTTGGCAGCCGGTGTCAAGTGGAGTGCCCCAGGGGTCGGTCCTGGGGCCGGTTGTGTTCAATATCTTCATAAATGATCTGGAGGATGGTGTGGATTGCACTCTCAGCAAATTTGCGGATGATACTAAACTGGGAGGAGTGGTAGATACACTGGAGGGCAGGAATAGGATACAGAGGGACCTAGACAAATTGGAGGATTGGGCCAAAAGAAATCTGATGAGGTTCAATAAGGATAAGTGGTTTTACCCTATTTCCCTCTAATTATCAAATATTGATAGGAACCTTAATTTCTTCTTCAGATTTTACCATTTCTGTCTAGTTCATGACTATTAACAGAAAATCCCCTAGGCTATCATCCTTTTCTCCCCCTAATTACCATACACTGATCATATC